GAGGAGGGAAAAATTCGAAAAAAGTTTTTGATGTTGTCGCTGTTTATTGACGTCACCGCGGCGGCAGGGAAGAGCGAGAAGCGATGTCTTGACCTTCGCCATGGTGCAAAAACCAGCAGTCACTCTTATGTGGAAAGAAAAAGGAAGAGAAAAGAGGTTTGAACAAACAGTGGTTGCTTATAAGTGCGATAGGCAGCGTTCAAACTTCGCGATCGAGGAGCGACGCAATCGCGAAGTCTGAACGCTGCCTCAGTAGTAGTGATGAGCAGAGAATAGAGAAAAGTCGACTATCAGGACGAGTTACTTGAATCGATGCAAAACTGGTAAAATAGTACCCTTCGGCTGCTAAAACTACGCAAACAACCCTTACGCAAACGTTATAAGGTGAGAACGAGGAAGGATTGGCAAATTGCCAACAGATGGACCTTAGAACGTTAGAAAGTTTGCGCAAGAGCTGTTAGCGTCGTTACTCCAACCGAAGGGAACTATTTCGCAAGTTCTGCCATTGACTGAAGTCACTCGTCCCGATAGTCGACTTTTCTGTATTCTCTGCTTACCACTCCCACTAACTCACCTATAAGCATCAACTATTTGTTCAATCCTCTTTTCAACTGCTGATTAGAGCACAGTGACGGAGGCGCAGGCCATCATCCCTTACTCCGTCGCGGTGACGTCAAAAAACTCATACGCGCAAAGGTGAAATTCCCCACGGAGCCATGGAGCCGTACCGCAGCGACAGGGAAAAGTGGTAGAACTGGGAAGGGAGGGCGGAATGAGTGTGGGGTAAGACTACGCTGCTACGCGTGCTACACACGCAAATACGTTATGATTGCGATCGACACGCTCGCGATGGTTCTGTTATCACGATGTTGACATTTCGCTGCTATTCTTTTGAACAGCACAGACCGTCATACATCAGCAGAACGAGAATAAGTACAAGCTCTGAGAATGTGCTGCTAAGAGAGCCTTGTGAAAATGGCTAGGCATCAGCAGGTTAACCTAACGGAGACGCGAGTATAATCTGTGCAGATTTTCCTGCACCTTGATTGTTTCAGTCATACAAATAAAACGAAAGCTAACGGCCGCGACAATGCGGGTTCTACCAGAATGAAGAGCGTGGCTGAAAACTGAAGCGAGCACAATTCTTATCGAATAACGCAATGATATCGCGACTGTGCGCTCCATCGCAAGCTGGTTTTTGCAAATTGCCGCGCACGACGTCGCGTGGTCCTAAAGGCGGTTTCCAGGGGTGGAATATATGATAAGAAGTGAAAGATGAAATGGAAATACGAGTGGAAAAACTAAAAACAAAAGCGGAAACGAGCGCCGATACTGCACGTGCTTTTTTCCCATCCATACGCTTGAATAGCACAGACGTGGAAAGTATGGAACAGTTTGTTACTTGAAATGGTGAGATAATAACTCGGGATGAAAGAGAGAGATAATAACTGTAATCCTTCTGTAGACATCACGCCAAAAGGTGGATGTACAACTCACGGGAACGCCTGCCACAACACAATTGTTGAGCAGCACTTTGCCATAGTTAGGGTAAGTTCAGCCCGACAATAATGTTGAATGTCGTTGTCTTGCCAGCTCCGCTAGCTCCAACCATTCCGAAGCAATCATTCTGGCGGATGTCGAACGTAATTCCTTTCAACACTCGTAACTTTCCGTAATATTTTACGAGATCCTGACAAATGAGAAATGAGTAATGTTATTAGGTTACCCGTTTTCAAAATGGCTCGCTTGGACCGGCGAGCTAGATGCAACGGCGCTGTAGCGAGGGCGCCAGGCAACCTGGGGCCAAGCAGTTATGACATTTGTATTCAAGAAGATAAATCAATTCCATTGAGCATCTCATGGATGCCATCGCTTCACAATGCAGGGAGCGCGATACAAAGTTGGACATCATCTCAATCTTGGCTTGAACTCAGACTTTTCGAGGTTTTCTCGTAATTTCTCGTCCACGTAATGATTGATTACGAAGAACTCGCAATTAAAAGGAGCAATGTCTGTGCTACACCACTGCAAGGGGAGAGCCATCCAGCTCTATTGCATGAGGAACGGCTAGAACTTTTTTGGAAGTGCGCTGCACTATCAGAAGCATTTGGAGGGGTCGGTGGCGATGGTAGCGGATAACATTCTTGTCCATATTGCAGAAGAAGAAGCAGGAATCAAGCGAGTGGTACTAATAGAAAGACCACTCTTTGATGTATAAGTGCTCACATTACCGTTCACCCCTCTTCAGGTAATGGGCAAATATTTTGAGTTCGAAAAAGTGACAGAACTTTCCCGCCAACCTGATAATTAGGAAGGTTCGGCCAAATTTGCACTGGGGCGGTTTTTATCGCCGTTTCATATCCCCCGATATTGTTCCCTATTTATTCAAAAACAGTAGCCTCGAGGCAGAAAGCAGATTCTGGCAGTGCTTCTAGAATCGCCAACTACTTTTCGTAAACAGGCGAGCAAGGCAGAAAAACTTTCCTCTCTATCCTCTCCAATATCCCCTCCATTGCACTTTACAACGAAGGCAGAATTTCGCGATCGAAAAAGGAGCCAAGGAATTGCATGAAAGCAACTTTCATGGCGAATCACCCAACTCACTCACTGAATCGGTGCTAACGCGCTCGCTCGGCTTGGTATCGGACCATTACGGGGGCACAGTGATACCGTTCCCATCGAAAGCTAAGAACTACATACTGCTCTGAGTGAGGAACCGATCACTGTTGGTAGAAGAAGGTAGCCGAATGTGATATCATCCCGCTTTCGGCACACTGTCGGCACTCCGACTCATTATGATGTTGCTCTTGCTACTACCCATATATAATTGAGGGATCACAGTAGGCGATGAATGTGGCTTACTCGAATCTCCAGAACCTTTTGTGCATTCACTTCAGTACCTTCCTGTTTTTTGGCTACAGCAGTACGCACGCCTTTCTGAAAAAACTACGATGATATGTACGCAGTATACAAACATATTCAACGATTTTTCTGAGAACAGCAAACCTCTTCACTTTCGAACATGTTTCTGAGAATTTGATTGCGGTAGTTTTCTATGTAAACAAGCACACAAAAACACACAATTCCATGGATAGCAAACGATCTGTACACCTCATTCCTGGCTTAAATTGCGTCACGTAACAAATACATCACAGCTGTTGCTTGGAAGTGCTTCCAGAATCGCCAACAACGTTTTGTAAACAGGATTTCCACTCACGAAGATACATATAGCGGAATGATGTGAACAGATCTGAGTACGACAGCTCGGCTATTGTGAATGTAAAAGAAGGGAAGAGCAGGATCAACCTCCGATACTGAAAGAGAGTTACATCAAGGGCCATTTTTTGAATTTCAGCTAACTTCACATCAATCAACAGTATTTGAACGTCTCTATCTCGACCAGTAACTCTTCATTCGGGGCCAATTAGGAATCAGGTCCTCGAACAGACTGCACCAATGCATAATCCTACTATATAAAATTTGTGTGACTCCACATGAACGATGTTTTCTT